TGTGCCAGCGCCATGGCTGTGTGTGCACCACGGCTGTGCCAGCGCCATGGCTGCTCGCAGCCCTGGATGATCCAAACCATGTTCAGAACGGGTACCGAGAGCTTTTTTAACCCAAATCCCCCCTCACCGCCTTTACTGGCGGCGCGTGATCCGCAGGCAAGAGCAAAGGGAGAATAAATGGAGCCTGTAGCCTTCCTTATTGATGAGATACACGTAAATGGCTTTGTCATGCAAATGTGGCTCTAAGCCACTTTCATATAAAGCCAGCTTAATACTGAATAGCCAGTGATCCTTGCTTGTCCCTTAGGCTGTGCCTGCCCTGTCCTTGAAGCGACGGAAATGAAGACATTGGTACAGATGTTGGCTCCCTGCCTCCATACCGAATTGGTACGACCTTACGGCACAGAAAGAAGTCTTCCTCCCCCAAAAGGTCTCTTCCATGAAACTCATTTCCTGCCAACCCTCCCCTGCTGCCCTCAGAATATATCCCTAGTGTCTCCCCGTTCCAGTCCTAACTACCCGCAGTAATTACCTGCTTAGACTGTTTTTCTGCTGTGTCGAAAAACATTTTATTTCTTTTTTAGCATGTCGCCCGTGCTTGGTATTAACTTTCAACAACAGCCAGCAGAGTGTGCTGTGAACGCTGTGAAAAAGAACATCCTGCTTCTGGGAAATTTATATTTATATATATATATATTTAAACACAGATGAAGACATTTTAAGTGCTTCAAATATTTGCATGAGTGGTAGGTAGTTCGTCCCGTCAATTATACTTCTCTTGCCACAGATCACAGACCCTCTTCCTTAAAAATTAATAGCCAAGTCATACTAAACTGTCCACTTCCAGCAAGATTGCTTTTCAGTGTATAAAGTTGGAAAAGTGCCACGATGAACATGTCCAAATCCCTTTCGCAGCCAAAGAGAGGGGTCTAAAACACACAGTATTTAATAGATGAAAATATAAATTGTAATCCTGGCCTACAGGAAGCAGTTTATGGAACGGCACTGTATAAGCATATATTTCTCCAACCTTATTGCTCTCTCCTTTGGACTGACTGACAGTGGATACAAAGAGATGAATAAATATATTACAAGTAAGTAAAATACAAGTAGTTTGAAACAAAGCGTTTACTAGATGACTTGGAAATTGAATTGTTTGCTTGAAAAGCAAACACACCTATGTTTGGATTCCT